TATCGAAGTTGTTACTTTTGTATCGAATTTGTTACTTGATCGAAAAATTTATATAAATAGAATATTCTAGATTTAATGTCAGATGTTTGATTTCCATATTGATTACACAATATTGATCTACCATCTATTTTATATGAATTCGGGATTGTTTACACCCTACCCTTAAGTTTTATGGTTGTCATTATCGCAAAGAGGAACAATTGTTGGTCAAAAACAAATTATGCATGTAAAATTTCTACAAAATGTGTCATGAGCTAATTGACTGAAATTGTGTCTCATGAAATGAGGATGCTCCACATCTAGAGTATTTATTTCAGAAAAATGGCACTTTGTGCTTGTGCCCTGTCTTACAAATAAGTTATGCATAACAATAATGATAAGCCTTGTAAGGTGATACAAAAAAATTATATATACAAACTTTACATCTATACTTCTACTCTTTAAAGATATGCCTCTTTTCGATATATTTGTGAGAGTGTTCTGATCTTTTTTCATCGTGATATATTAACCAAAAAAAAATTGCTTAACTAGTCAAGTTTCGAAGAAATATATATGTGGCTAATTTTTTTTATTATCGTTATACAAACCTGTAATGTGATTTATATACAAAAATTCTCAGCACAGTGTGATGGCTAAGTTAATAGCATTTGCAGATTATTGACCAAATTTACAAATAGCATTTACAAAAAGCATTTATTTACTAGCGACTAGAAAAACCTACAACTTTTTTATTACTTTTATGTGAGAAAAAATATAACGATCCTGACCGTGCGGTTTAGGACATGTGACTTCACGTGATTGGCGCAATAGATTAATTTTTCGGTTTCAAAATGCTAAGTATAATATTATCAATATCCTCCTTACTTAATTTTGAAATGGTTAAAGCACTAAAAGATTTAACTCTTTGAATTTTATCTTCTCCAATATTAATAAAGAGTGTATAAAGCTTTCGTGATCTTTCTACTTTCTTCCACAATGTAGTATCTGTAATATTAGGGATTTGTTTTCTAATTTTATCATTAACTAATAACAAAGAAGCATATGGAGGGTTTGTTTTCTCATAATGCTTAAGTCGTTCTGATAGAGCTTTACCAAAGAGATAATAGTTGGTTATAACATCCCGATTCGTAATTTCATTTTGCATTTCTGAATTAGTTATATTATTATATAAATCATTAAAACTAATAGCATTTTCTTTTTTAATTACAGAAACTTGAGTTTCGGGTTCAGTAGATAATTCTTTTATAAGATCTTCTAATATATTTGATTCCTTTTTAACCAGTTTCTTTACTTTTTTATTAGATGATTTATCTGATAAGGTAGGTTCACTAACACGTTTTTTAGATAGGGTAGGGCTAGATGGATTTTCTTAAGACATATCTACATCCGGCATGTCTTCTTCTGGAATTTTTGGCATATCTTGAGATTGGATACTATGTTTTTCCATCCCTTAACTACTGATGATGTACTTGACTCAGAACCCCTTCTAGCATTTGTTTCGATAATTTTGACCTCCTTACTACAACCAGAGAATGGACATGTATTTGGTATTGTAAGTAAAAGTTCTTTTTCAATACAAATTCTATGAAAGATGTGCCTGCAAGATAGTGTTGTGAATGCTTTGAAAGGATGCGTAATAATTTCATCTTTGCATACTGAACAATGCTCTAATTCTGTAATTTTTATACCCTTAACAATGCCATCCTTAAAAGTTTTTAAAATATTATACGCAAGATTTTTGATGTTATTAATAGGAGTAGTTGATGTGGAAGTAGAGGTAGACATATTCAAGAGTAAAATTTATGTAATTAGATTCGTATGTGTTAATATAGAGTATAATCAGATAAGTATTTTACAATTTTCTAGAGTGCTTTGCACTTTG